TAGGTGCTGATAAAAAAAACATGTCCCAAATGAAGAATTCTAAGATAGGGAGAGCTGAGTTTGCCAAGATTAGATGGCATTTAATTTCTTGAACAATAAAAAGCCTCTACATGCACACAACACAGCACGAGACCATGCTAAGAATGAAACGAAACCAACCTTGCTGTTAGGCCCCGATGAGAGCTGTCTCAAAATAAATAAAAAAATAAGGTTTCAAATAAGTGACAACCAGAATTAGCTTTCATTGAGCTTTTATTTTTTTTTTAAAACAGAATCAACTATAACTGAAGTCAGTATAGGAACATATGCTACAGTGCTGTATTTTATTATGCAGAGAATCAACTTCAAGTCTAATATTAAGACACCTGGCAATGAACTTTCAGAACTCCCCAAAACTTACTTTAAGCATTAAAAAAACCTGCTTGAAGTACACACAAAAACATAGCTATGAACCTCACTGAAGCATTATTTAGAATAAGCATAAAAAAAAAGCTTAAGGCACTATAAACTAAGTACAGCAGGGGCTACAGTTTTTCCAAGATAGCCTATTTTAAAATGGGTCAAATGGTCCACAGGCACTCTATGTAAAAAATGTTTTAAATCTGTTAAGATCACAGCCTATTTCCACAGTGATGTGAAGTTACATATGAAAATATACCTACCATAAACAGCACTGAATCAATTTCTTGTGTTGGATATTAAAACTAAGTGTTGGTTTCTCCTTTGAAGTATAATGGTTAACTTAGCTACATTGTTCATTTGTAATCAGTCTTTTTACTGATTACATGTAGATGTCTCAATTTGGATGACAGCATAGAAGGAAAAAGAAAATCAGGATTTACTCACCAAGGAGGAATCCCTGTGACACCACATTCCATCCTATAAAGGAAGTGAAAGTGCTCTTCCCTTCGGTCTGATTTACAAGAAAGAAAGAAAGAGAAGGTTGTAATGTTGCTACACTATGCACTGTTATGGAACGGAGAAAGGAGTACTTGATCTGAGAGTTTATTACAGAAAATACTGAATGCACCTGCCTTTTTTTGGTTGATAGAAAGCCACACATTTTCATGGACAGGTGTTCTACTTTCTCAATGAACTTAACTAGACCATAGGAAGTTTATGTATTGAACAGCGATTGCCCTTAGCAAAAAAAAAAAAAAAAAAAAAAAATTAGGCTTGGGAATAAGTGTGCAACAGAGGTTCAAATTTATTTAATAACCTGATAATATGAACAAAGAAATAATGTCCATAATAAGAATGCCAGTGTATTTGTTTGGTTTTGTTCATTTGGGTTTTTTTTCCTGAGATCCTTTCTTTATACAGTTTCTTTCTTGAAGTAATGCTGTTGTATTTATTTCCTACTGGAAAGCATAGATCTATGATTTCACAGGACAGCAATGGGAATTTCAGGAGGTACATATAATACAACTGAAGTTAATGATGTTATTGCTGACAGGATCTAAATTCACTTATTTCAGGGAGAAGAGAGTGGAGTAAAAGAAAAACATAGAACACATTTATAATCTGTATCTATTTCCATGTGGAAGAAATGTAAAGATCTTGCCAATCAATCTTCACATATAAGAAAATTCATAACCTACTTCTGTATTTTCTTGAGAAAACTTGAATTTGGAGAAAAAAAAAAAGTCTCACTTTCCATAACAAGTCCTTACTTGCTTTGTGGACAAGATGTAAAATGCCTTTAGGTATAATTAAATCCAGAGTCCCATCAGAGTTTCACTAACATACAGTTTTAGCCTTCATATCTGTGTTCTTCAAATAACACAGAGAGCTTTTCCACATTCCCACAAGAGCTTCTATTGGTGTGCAACATATTTTCAAGAAAAACAAAAAGTTAGCTCTATAAAAGTGTTTCAAAACAAGTAGAGAAATTAATCGGCCCAGAATCTCTGGGTCTGAGGTACTAATAAAAAAAAAAAAAAGTCTCTGAATTGTAAAAGGAAACCATATCTTTCAACCACAGGTAGAGTTAGTTTTAGGAACCTTATCGTCAAGGACTGTAATTATGGAAAAAAACTCCACCAGGTCCACTTCTCTTTCTACCTTAGATTTGTTGTTCCAGCAAAGTATGTGCTTTTATTTTGTCAAAGACTATTTTAATAAAATGAGAATAGTTTAGAAGACTCAAAGACAGCAATTTAGGAAACTTCTTTCCACAACTTGGAAGAAAATAGCGCAGAAGTGATTTTTTTTTTTTTTTGTAATTTCAGAAGATGTAATTTAATTTTGTGAAGTGTTTGTTAATTTTTTTAAGAGCATGCTGCTATTTCCAAAGCATAGCAACAGTGAACCTGCACCTGCCAAAAGCACCACAATGTGATGATTCAGCCTCTGCCAGTTTGACCACAGCAATTTAACCTGCAGTTTAGTTTATTTAATGACAGAATCTTGGATTCTTCTGACTGAAGTTTTTGAAGTTTTAAAGTTTCTCTACAAAATAGCTATGTTAACACCAATATAGCTCTGAAAAATACACATAACTAAATTTACCCAAAAGGAAAGATCAAGTGACAAGGAATGACGACTTAGCAGTCAAACTGAAGCACTTACACTGTCTTAGCAGAAAAAGGAAACATAGTTCTTTAAGATACATTACTCTCTGTTCCCTTTTCCCTATGTTTAAGCACTGCACACAATACCAGACAGGAATTAGCCCATCTTATACAGAGTGTGGTCTTACTGTTTTAAGGAAATAATGGGTAATATAACAATTTTCTACACTAAAAAAAGCAGAAAGAGTTATGAGAAAATAAATTAACAGAGGAATAAACTGGCAGGGAGACTGAACACTCACTACCTAATCACTAAGATGTTAAGAAAAAAGTCAAGATGAAGGGAGGAGCACTTTTATTTACTACACAGAATGGAATATGATGTGGCAGGTTCAAATAACAACTAGTCATGTCTCTCAACACTTACTTGACATTTGTGAGGAAGAGCAAGCTAAAAGATAAAGAGCCACCTGCTTTGTAAGTACCTTCTGTAATTACAGATGTGTTTTACCTATTGAAGTTTTGTTACAAACACATAAAAATGCATTTCCCGAGCTAGAAGAAAATCCCAAACGTTTTTTGCCATAACAAATCAAATTAGCATAACTAGAAAAACACCAGAAACCCAAAAATCAAAGTGCAGGCTCTGAATATTTGGAAACAAGAATCATTACATCTGAAAAAGTTCCATTACATACTATGAACATGAATTGTGAACGTTTCAGTAAAAAGCCACCAACTTTAAAACATTAATGAATTACAGAAAGACTCAAGTAGTGAACAACTAAAGAGAAACTAGGGAAATAAATTCCATAAACGTTTGAAATAACTGTGACAAAAGAAATTGCTTCAGGAGTTGTTACAGGAACAAAGCCTTCTTCGCTTGAGATAATCTCAGTTTCACTGCACCTTACCTGATAACACTTTAAAGTTAACATAGTCAAGTTGAATAGATTAAATTTGATTCTATCCTGCCTCACAAACTAAAAATACTGTCAAGCAAGCAGACTGAGTTTTAACATTGCAGGTGCATGTAGACATATATACACACACATGTGACTGTATATGGTACTTCCAGTGTTGCTTTCTTCAGTATATTGAACAATACCCAAAACCAGCAACTGGTCTTGCAAATTTTTAATCATCATTTCAGAAGAGCAGAAAACTTGTTTGTCAAAAGCAAACCTGAGTTTATAAACAAGGAAGAACACTTTTTAAACATAAAAAAAAGTAGTAAGATCGAAATGATAGGTTAAAATCCACTACATTTACCTGAATTTTAATATTTTAGCAATAGCACCCATATAAATATTTAAAAATAGGCACCTAATTTGACTTGCCATCAGGCTAAAACTAAATAGCTCTCATATTTTTTACACAGATAGGAAAATTCTCTTAACATAACAGAAGTCTGAGATTCAGCTCGAAATTAACAGCACAATATTAGAGACTGACACCTAGTGCCTATGTTAAGCATCACCAAAGTACAAATATTTCAACTTAAGACCATACTTTGAAATATTATGTCTTATGCAAATAGACTACCATTTGCTCTAATCAGAACATATATTCTAAACTATGCATCTAAAAGCACTTCACATATAAAAGACTATTAATAATGCAAATGCAAGCAACAAAAAAAAAAATCAGCTACCACAGATCAAGTTCACGTTTGGAGAAATCCAGAATGAAAACCCTAAAGTCCTTACTTATTCAAGGATATATTTATTCAACACTATATTTATTCAGTACTCCTTTTCTTTTAGGCTACACTTAAGGCTTACATAATCAGCTTTACTGTGAAATAGCAACTTTTATGAAGGAAATTAATTCTATCCAATTTTTGATGCCTAGACCAGAAAGGCAAACCAAAAATTCTATGTATTAGCAACTTCTTAGTATTGATCTGAACAAAAAAGCAAGGGGTTAAGATGTAAAATTTCTTAATATTATTCTGATTATTTAGTCCTATCCAATTACTCTCTAAAGAAAATAACACATTTTATACAGGGATCCTTTGAGTAAAGTTTACCATGGAAATAAGGAAAACTTGTGTTGTAAAAAAAAAAAAACAACAACACACTTTTGTTTCAATATCAAAGAGTCTATCAAAAGACATGAGCCAAGTCATTAACTCACCTCTAAGAAATCTTTAAACACTTAAAACAGATGTTAGTTAAAAAAAAAAACCACCAACCTATAGGGTAAGGTTACATCTCTGTCCTTTACTAACCTGAATGTGCCTAAGTGGTGCTGCTATCAAACTGTTGTGTCTGAAGGAAACAACGATGACATTTAGTGACTGGTGGCAAAGCTTAAATGTTGCACGCACACCTTTGCTTTGGCTAGTTTAGACCAAAACTTCTATTTTACACTGGAAGAAGTCATTGGTAGTTCACCACACTGAAACATCGTAAAATTAAGCACACGCATAACTATAGAAACATTATTTAAGGGCATCAACACCTTTCTCTTGAATCAACTTACCGTAAGCCATAGCAGGGCAAAGTGATGAACCGGAATATTGCCAGAAACACTCTCAAAGGAAGTAGGGTGAATACATAGAGAAAAGCATCCAGGCACAAAAAGATTCCAAAAAACATCAACTAAATTACAAAAATAAAATAGAAGCATGTTAGTAGTTTATAAAGAGTTACAGAAGCTTATAAAGAATTGTATTATTTTATGAAAAATATATCAGATTCATTAACCAAATAAGCACAACACTCTCACTTGTTCAGTCAGCTGAACAGCAAGAAAAATAACATGCTATGCACTTGGAAGACTACTCAGCAAAAATTCTGCACCACAAGGTCCAAGCTTTTGCAGATTTCCATGGCTCACCAAACTCAGTCTTTATTGAATAGATGAATTGCATTTGGATATAACTGGAGCTCATTTTCCAATGGTGACTTTCCTCTAAGATTACAAAAGTTAATGTTTTTAACCTTGGTGGGGGGGGAAATAGAGCATTTTCTACCTACCTCCTTTTTAATATGCTTTTTTTTAAAAAAAAAAAAACCACAACTTTTTGTTTTTACCTTGTTAATTTTCTACTGCACAGCTAATTGCAGCTGTGGAAGTTCTCCTTCAGAGAATATCTACCTTTTTCATACAGAGAAGAATATAAAATATGGTAATCTTCCAGCTGTCCTCAGTTTAAATGCTTTATCCTTAAGTTACAGAAAGAGTTAAAGCCATTTCATTACAGCCACAAGCCAAGCAACTCCATGATAATTAAACTAGACCTAAACTCTAATTAGAAAGCTCTTCTATACCAGACTCTCCCCACATGACATTCCTTCTTTATCTGCTCTTTGAATGTATCTAAGATTTAACTGAATGGGACTCTAGTCATGTGCTTTTATGCTTCTGTCAGACCAGAAGCTAGTGTTTTTTCCTGCAAGGAAATTCACACAGAAAGGCAAGCTTAACTGGCTACACAATTAAGACTAGCAACATCTAAGCAGGCCTAGATATCCATGACAGATATGCATTTACATGTGAAAGTTGTACGTATTGCTGATGAGAAAGGAAGACACTGGTTTGGGGAGGAAAAAAGTAAACCAAAGCACAAGTAAAATACTTCTATCTCCCACAATCTCTCTGCCTTTCAAAATACCTTCTTTGTCAGCTTGTGCAACAGCCAGTTCAATGTCCAATGAGCAAATATCACTGACAAGTACCTTGCTCTCACTCTTACTCCTCATGTATCCTTGTAACTTTGAAAGCAATCCTACAGAGTACGCTCCAGTACATCTATCTGCAAGCCACATAAGATGACTGACTCAGGCATAAGGGCACTGCTATCATCACTGAGCTGGCACTTTCCCTTATACTACTATTTCTACCAATTCTGCAGTCTGTACTTCAATACCACCACGACATTAAGGTCTCCTCTCTGACAATCACTCATTCACCTCTAGTACCATCTTCTAAAATTTCAGCAGAGAGTTTTCACTCAAAATTATCAGAAGCAGCAGTTACAAATAATGGATGAAATTATGCATTGCATTTTAATACATTTCTTTGCTAACTTTTAAACCGGGTGCTGAATATCCAAGCACTGAGGATGACTGGAGTTGAACAGGAGTTGGTTTGGGTTTTTTTTTTTTAATATCACACCCCATTCCAAAATTATGTACATGTAACAAGTGCATGTTAAAGAACATCTCCTGAGATAGGCTTTGACAAATTTACTCCAGTTTATTCTCACTCTATCTGATCATGACTTTCATTCCTAGTCTATAATTATACTATTAGGTAGTAAACAACACAAGCCATTAAGAAAACTCTTCTCTTCCTTTCCTAGTGTCTCACATGTTTATTTCAACAAAGCAGACTTTTGAATCACACAGTCAAGAGATTCCTGCAATGGGTGATGATCTGTACACTGTTTAGTTTGGTTTCTAGGTGCTCATCATGCTTTTTCAATTTTTTCAACAAGTATGATTCAATTTAATATAGCTAGTATGTATACTAATCTGGACTAAGCCCATGTAAAGAACTAACAAATTAATTTCATAATCTCTGTAAAAATATAACTATCACTTTTTAAATTTACCTGCTTATTTCTCAGTTTCATATTCTTTCATATTCAAAGTACAGACTGAAGTTTGATTTACCATGCAAAAACCATCAATTTCACCACAGCATCAACCTTATTTATAAGAGACTGTTGGCCTTCACTTGTTCTTATGCACTGAAAGTTTTATTGGAAATCTACAGTGATGATCCTTCAGAATAATTTCTGTGGCTTTGAGACGGCATGTAATAGTCTACATAATTACAATCGTGATGATTTAGAACTGTTATATTGTTCAGCTGAGACTCTACTATAACTGGAATATTCTACTGTAAACTGGAATAGATAAACAGTAAGAACGTGAAGATACCATCCCTGGAGATGTTCACAGCCCAGGTGGATCTGGTCCTGAGCAACCTGTTGTAAGTAACACAGTTTTAAGCAAGGGGGTGAACTACATCATCTCCAGAGGTCTATCCCAATCTCATTCATTCCATGATTTTCTGCAGTAACTGACTGGGAATTTAGTTTTTTAAAACCAGTTCTCATCATGGTCCAAGGATGAATTTAATGATACTGAAGGGAGAACCTGAGTGCTGCTGACAGAGTGAATCCTATTCACCCTCCCTCCTCCACTGCTCTTTCATCTTTCTACCCCTACCCCAAGCTATACAGCTCCCTTGCTGCCCTTGTGTGGATTCTCAAGAATATTGGCTGAACAAGTCAGCTCACTATCCTAGCAAAGAAGAAACAGAGCAAGAAAAGTGAAGCATTTGCTGCCTAATTATGAGCTGACTTAACACTTAAGAGCAGTCCAACATTTTGCATCACAGCTCATGCAAAACAGGCAGCATCCATAAGGCAGGAGACTGAAGTGGAAGGAACAGTGAAACAAGACTCTTCCTTCAATATAAGTTAAATTGATGTAGCCCTACCATGTAACTTCATCCCTAGAGATTTTGAGAATTTTAGCAATATTACTTTTAATGTTATAGTTACAATGCAGCCCAGACAAACCTTATTACCGATGTTGCCTTAGTCAT